TCCCAAATTTTAATGTTTTCCAATTGGTCTCCCACTTGGAACTCAAGCAGAAATACAGACATTACTGTGGATGAGTTTCCTTCTGTTGTCCCACACCTTAGATCAGGCTGCTGCTCTTAAGAGCTTAGAACCAAGACTCAGCACCTGGTCAGGGGAATGTGTTGCTGCCTCCTTCCCGTGGTTTATTAGATTTGTTTTCTCAAAAGAAAAAAAAAGCTGGGCCAGGGATTTAGCTCAATGGTTCCACTGCCTGCCTTGCAAGTGCAGGGACCCGAATTCAATCCATGGTACCAAAAAAAAAAGCTAAGTGTGTTCACATGTGTGTGTACATATGTGTGTGTATACCTGCATGTGTGTGTATAACCAAGTGCCTGCATTTTGGCAATGCTGTATTCAGAAGCATGCTTAGCATCTCCAAGCTCATACAGTAAGCCTCAGCTGGCCACACATTATCCAATTCTGGGAGCACTCCCTTCCCTATCCTGACCTCTCTGATATTCACAGGGCTCTCTGTTACCAGAAGCTAGGCTTCTGCAATTTTTATCTTACAATAAAATGGGGAAAGTTGCAGTCAAAAAATGTTATCTCTCGTTAGAAAATGTTCTTCGCCAAACTTAAAAACTGTGATTTCAACAGTTTGGCAGGAAAAAAAAATTTTTTTACAGAAATGAATTATCGCTGTAGGCAATGACGCCAGAGGCCATTGTCCCAAGCATACTTGAGTTCTGGATTTTGCGGAACAATCATTCAAGGCTGGTCACATGATAAAGGGTACTTTCCTAACACAATCTGTAGGAAATGGAGTAACTCTTCCATTTCTTATGGTCACAATCCAGTCCTCTTGGTGATGAGTCAAGGGCAGGTTTCTTTACATCTCAACAGAATCCAGGCCACAGGTTAGATTACATGCACTGCACTCTGACTCCAGGCCAGGCTCCTGGTTCCCAGCTTTGGTCCTGCCCTGTCTGTTCGCTGCCCATTGTGTTCTCCCTCCTGAGTATAAGATGGCTGCCTGTAGCAATGATTGTTCACCCCCAGCAGGAAAGAGAAAACAGGAAAGGGGGAAGAAAAGGACAGTCTCTCCCAACATGAGGAGCATGGGTGGATAGTCACATGCCTGCTCCTAAACAATTACAGTAATAGTGAAGAACCCAGATTGGTCACCTGCTCCAGTCCCTGCTCTGGAGCTGGAGACAGTGGGTATCTAGAAGGGAGGGATGGATGTCAGGTGGGAAGTCAGGGACCTCTGCTCCATGGTCCTAGTTAGTGTTTACAATTTTGTGCAGTAACAGGACATTGGATTGTAACAAATGCACCTGGGTGCACTTGGCTGGTACTGGGCAGGGTCTGTATTAACCATAAGCACATTCAGTGAGGAAAGCCCATGCATCAAAGCCCATAAGTCCATTGCTTCCCTATGGGAGAAGTTCAAGCCTGGCTGGGCCAGGTGCACTGCACTCCTGTCTCCTAAGCAAGCTTAGAGAGCATACTAAGGCTGAGCAAGTTCACCTAAGTGCATAGATGCTGGGTCTAACAGGCTAAACCTCTGCCCCTAGTCCCTGACTCCTTTGCCTTGCCCAAGAAAAATCACCCCACCATATGTCTAGCCAATAAGATAAATGCTCCTCCCCCATGGTTGTCCACACATAAGCTATACAAGCCTGAGAATTTCCTAAATAAAGTGGAAGCATTCCAGGAACCTCCGCGGAGTCTGCCTGGTGATTCCACACCTCACCCTCCCAGTCCGAGCTCCACAGACCAAACAGTGGATGATAACTGCTGGTGTGCAAATGTGGGGCTTGAGTATACTGGATATTGAAGCCACGAGTAAGGATCCCTACCATGGGTATTATTTTAAGTCAGGAATGGCCGGTACAGGCTGCCTTGGTAAAGGCATTGTTAAAGACCAGGGGAATGAAAGTTTCCAAAGATTGTCTCATCACCTTCTAGGAGACTATTCTTAAATTGTACCCTTGGATGGAGGGTGCCGATGTAATGATAGATGCTGAGCTCTGGGAATGCACAATATATAACAGTGCACCAAAAAATGTGGGGAGATCCACCTCCTACTGAATTTTTTTCCCTATCACTTCAGTGATTATTCAGTGTCTTGATCCTCACACTGTTAAGGCACCCAAGGTGTTTCCTGCCCAAATGCCAACTGAAAAAGAGCCTCAAAGTTACCCCAAACATGGCCTCCAGGAACTTCTTGGGAAAGATGGCATGGGCAAATTCTCTCTTCCACCTTCTTCTTCCCTTGAAGTGTCAGCACCACCCTCTGACACCCCACTTCCCTGACACTGACATGCCTCTGCCAAAACCCCTGTGTCACCAGAAACAACATCACCCTGACAAACCCACCTTTTTGGGCCCAAGATGGTGGCCCCCATGATGTGCACTGCCATTTTACTGATATCATGATTCCTCGAGCTCTTCATCAGACAGTAAAGAGCCCTCATCCTCTGGTGATGAGGAGTCTCCTATAAATGACACATTTTTCCAAAATATGATAAAGGTATCAAAGAAAAAATATCAGCCTCTTTAGGCCTATCCCATCACATTGGGCGCCCTGAGACAGCACCTTGGTTTCCTCACTCCCCCAAGGTTTGAAAGGACTTCCATCAGGTGGTTCAAGACCATGGACCTCAAAGCCTTTTGTGCACAAGAGATGAGTATGGCACCATCTGAAACTCCTAAACCCATTTCAGGCCCAATGATGGTTGTTCTGTGTGCAGCACTCACTGCCAATTCAGAACAAGCTACTTCTCCCTTTTTGAACATGCAAGTATGGGCTCTTGTCCCTAACCTAATATCTACCCTGTCTCTTCTTTTGGAAACTTTTCACAACCTGTAATTTCCACCTCCTGGAACTCCACTGTTTCCCCAAATTCGGTGTGCTTTACAAATGATTTTTCTACACAGGATTGACTATTACTTCAGAGATATGATTTGCATGGGTCAGGGTTGTTATTACCATACTTCCCTTTACAACATGCCTTTCTTCCCCTTTCTTCTTTATTCTTACCAATTCAACCCTTAGGATGGGCAACCAAGTATCAATCACCCTGTACATCAGTCCTTCTTTCTTTCCTGATAACTCGACCTAGTATTTTTATATTGGCAGAAATCCCCCAGCAATTTGGATCCCGAGAGTGGAGGGGTTCTGATCCCCTCTTCAATTTGATGCTTCATCCCCATCTCAACCGTGATTTAGACATTTTGGCTATCACTACCATTATACTGTCCGTTGTTGCTATGCTATCCACCACCACCACTTCTGCTGTGACCCTTAACAACCAAGTCGTCACTGCCACAGCCATTCAACAACACCTCTCTTGCCCTGGGACGATCAGTGATAGGTATTTTAAAAACCTTGTGAGATGGTATTTCAACCAGGTGAACACAGTTAAGTACTTGGGCCAAAGGTCTGATTCTTTCCTCACCCTATGTGTTAACATTTTGAAAGTCATTTTGTTATTGTTCATTTTAAAATTAGGTGTCTGGCTCAAAGGAGATACAGACAGACTCATAAAAATGTGGTCTTCTTGGCCAAGGCTCTGGAGTCAAAGACAAAAGTGGGAACTATGGGAGAATTTCAAGCCTGGCTAGGCTAGCTGTGTCACATTCCTGTCTCCTGAGCAAGCTCAGAGACCATACTAAGGCTGAGCAAGCTCACCTAAGTGCGTAGATGCTACGCCTAACAGGCCACACATCTGCCCATAGTCCATGACTCTTTTGCCTTGCCCCCAAAAAATCACTCCCCCATATGTCTACCTAATAAGATAAATGCTCCTCCCATGCTCCTCCCCCATGGTTGTCCACACATAAGTTATATAAGCCTGTGCATTTCCTAAATGAAGTGGAAGCATTCCAGAAACCTCCCTGGAGGCTGCCTGGTGATTCCACTCCTTACCTTCCCAGGCCAAGTTCCCAAACCAAACTCGACAGACCAAACAGCTGACAACAACACTTCCCTTTGGTCAAAATGTCCTGAGGCTGTGCCTCCAACATTTCCCTTTATAAATACTTATCAACCAATCATCATGGTGCACAGTAATCTGGAAGGTTGAGGCAAGAAGATCTAACTTTTTTTTTTTTATACCAGGGATCAAGAATTCAGGACCTTGCACTTGCAAGGCAGGCAACAGCAACACTGAGCTAAAACCCTGGCTTCAAGAGGATCTCACATTTGGTCCCAGTCTGTTGCTCAATGCGGAAGCCCTGGCCCTGGATTCCCCAGTACCACAAACACATGCACACACATATCCATATCTATGTCACAGAGAAATGACATTTTAAAACTAGTGATATGAATGTCAAAGAAATACAAGGCAATGTGAACAATCAATTCAGCTGTTTCTGTCTTCATTCCTCTATTTTTATGACTCCAAACTTGATTTTTAAATTACCATGGTAAGGGGTAATCTTTAGGATAAATTCCAGTGTAATTCGCATACAGGAGCAAAATGAACACATGGTAAAGATTTTAACTCATGGAAGGAGGAAAGGGGCAGATGGCATAATTGGTTCAAAGGAGAAGTTCAAGCTGGGTGTTGTAGGAGACATGAGGGTGTCCTTTCACTGGACCAATACCCATGCCCAGAGATGGAAATCATCTCAGTTGGGAAGTTGCTAAGCTGTGATGTTGCCCCAGAGAATCAGAACATGGTAACCAGATGGTGTGCTCTATACCAAGTGTAGTTTTCTATGGATGCACAGTTGTGTCTATATACCACAAACATTCATCTTCTCTTCATTTCACAGTCAAGGTTGGGCTTCCCTAGGAAGACCTGCCAGTCTCTCCTGAGCTCATTCCTGAAGGCTACAATTCAGGAAGGTGGGACTGAGGTTGAAGGGTCCCACCAGCTAGTGCTTGGCCTACAGTATATACCCATGGAATTTTAATTTATGGGAGTGATTGAGAATTTAAAAAGGCTTACTACCTGGAAAGTAGACTTTCATCTTTATATCTCCCCAGAGAAGGGGACACACCACATACGATGGGTTGCCTGGGGAAGATCAGGTTGGTGTCCACAGCTGGAGACAGTGGTGAAGGGAAGGTCTGAGCCAGAGCTTCCATTGGGATTCTTACGGGAAAAGCCAAGAAAAGCAAAGTAAACATATCAGGACTGTTCACTGTGAGTAACTCTAGGATACTGGGGCACAAGGGCATCTCTATCTGCCTGGCATTAGCCCTGGGTTGATGAAGGACAGGGAGCCAGATGCTTGGCAGAGAGATGAGGAGCTGGGGCACAGCACTTGGTCTAGGTAGCCTGCTTGTGACAGGATGCTCCAGGCACATGACCACAGCCACAAGGGACAAGCAGGCCCTATGAGGGGTGGCCTCCCCGCAGGTATGAAAAGCTCCACGTTGTCATAACATCATATTGTGAAAAATAGCCTTTTTTTCTGTCAAAGAACAAGGCCAAAGCAACTCCATTTTGGATTTAAATGACCTGGCCATTTACTTACTTTCTACCCCACTCTGTTAGTATCCTGAGCTCCAAGAAGTGTGACTGTATCCTTTCCTAGAATACAGCTGGTTTCCAAGACAAGAAACAAGGATTTTCCATTCCAAACCATATAGTGCGCTCCCCTCTCTGTCAAACTTACCCAGCAGCATTCCCCATGGCTCTTGAGTTAGTCGCAATAGATTGTAAGCCTTTGAATTCAGCCAATTAATTTAAAGTTCAGCTGCTTCCCATGCATTAGGGCTTAAAATCCACCCCCGCACACACACGCACTGCTTAGTGTACCTGCTACCTCACAGTATGCTCCTGCCCTTTTGCAAAAGAAAGAAAGAAAAAAGCCTTGCCAAGATTTCTTGGAGTCTGAGTGCTTTATTATCTGCATCAAAAAAGTGAGTTAGAGGCTTATTTCCAACAATAGTGTACATAAAATAAAAACTATAATTCACATAGACCTAGCATGGTCAGAGGCCAAGGTGCCCCTGTGCTCCTTGTGGCCCTCTCACTTTCCAGGAGCTGCATTGGGCCTAGCTACACTATGCTGGATTCCAGGAGGAAGCTCAGCAGCTCATGGTCCACAGAGACAAGGCTTGGAAAGGATCAGCATCACTTCCATTGCACCCTGCAGCTCAGAGAGAGGCAAAAGGATAGTACAGGTTTATGTGGTGGATGAAAGGCAAAGGCCACAGAGAATCAGTAGCCATATTTAACTTATGCCCTGAGCCCAGGCAAATGCTTGCCAAATGTACTGGAATTGCTTGTGGACATGGAGACTCACACACTAAACATACAGCTTCTGATGCCTTTTTATCTCTGAAGCCAAGGGCCTAAGGTATAGTAAATATTGTCCAAAATGAATGGTTGGGAACCTTTTTCAATTAATGAAATTTTGTGAACAAAGAGAAGAAAGAAAGCACAAGAGCTGGCCATTTTTCAGAAATGATCTGATTTGGTTTGTGATGGGGAGTAGAAGTTAAAGTTGTGCCAGCCTTCTATCCAAGATAAAAGAGATAGATTTAGTTCTTGGGAAATAGGTACCAAGAAAGGCTTTTGAATGACAGCGTGACCAGCATCATTAAGTCTTTGAGATTAAATTAACTGATAGCTCATCCCCAAGGTCAGTTTGACAGATCTGTCATGACAAGGACAAATGTTGAGGGCCACACAAGGCCACTTATGAAGCAGAGGACATGGTCAGTTGTCTGATGAGTTAAGCCTTTGGCTCAACACCAAGGCTGCAGAAGGACCAAAGTCCACTTGATCATTGACAATTGTCCAGTTCTTCTTGATGGATTTCTCTAGCTTCTCTTAGAAGAAGTTGAAAGTGACAGGTTTTTCATGCCCTCAACAGCAGAGTGTATGTTACAATGGGAACAAAATCTCTGGCTGAATTCACCTAATAAACAAGTAATTGTTAACATTCAGGCAGAAAACTATCATGGAATCTGCTTGTGTAGGCTTAAGAAAGCATCATAGCACCCTTTAGACTCCTCTACAAGGAGCTCGCTTGAAGGTTTGGCTCAGGGAAAAGACCATAGCGTTTAACAGTTGATCTTAGCTAACTTGGTCAGAGAGGCCAGAGTGAAGTTCAGGGCTAAGTACGGATCTTAGCAGTGTAAGGAACCATCTATCATAGCACTGGCTTTGAGCTCACCATGTGCTCTTGCTTCAGTTAGTCTCTCATGTGTCCTCCAGTCAAACTCACTGGGTGCTTACGGTGAGTAAGCAGCCCCCACAATGGTGTATGGAAGTGGGTTCAGAGGAGGACTCATCACCAAGAAATCTATACTTAGTATTTTAAAGTTCATTCTAGATAGTGTAACATGCAACACTACTCTCTATCCAAGAAACCAAGCCATATGTTTAAAATGTTCTTGATTGAAAATTACTTTATTGCTCAGTGTAGCTTCCAGAAAATCCCTGATCTTTTGGTTTAATTTATTATTTTAGAAGCCTTATTTCCAAGCATACCTGATGACAGAGATAAGGCAAATTAACCTGCAGGCATAAATGGATCTCAGCTTTGGAGAGTTGATCATTTTTGAGAATATAAAGTTTTAAATCAACAAGGGACATCAGAAACTCACCATGTGTTTACTGAAGTTGCTGAAGTCTTAGCTGGAAAATGACAGTTAATTCTGAGGTTATGCTAAAAAAAAGTATAAACATATATTTTTAAATCTTGAAAAGAGGAGAGAAAAAATGGATCAAGAATGCTTCTGCTGGTAATGCTCTTTTCTCTTCGCTATTAGAAAACATAGTCTATACATTTTGACAAAAAAGAGAGAAAATATAACTATCTGGAATGTACTTTTAAAAACTGAGCATAAAATCAACAACTTCTGTGGTGTGATCTGGCTAATGCAGTAAAATTTCCATACTCTGAACTCTCAGGTGATCCTTATGTCAGCTGGTGTTACAAAAGATGACGGAAGACAACACCCCAGACTCCCAATCCTATACCAGATTGTGTTTCTTGGATGCATAGGGCATTTCACTGTCCAGTTTTATTCAAATTTGACTTGGGTAGAAAACCATTCTTGGAGTACACAAACTGCAGAAGGCTATTGGATAGACCACAACTTCCAAAATTATACAATTCCAATATCAAGGTTTCAATTGGACTCATGTCCTTACAAAAGTCATTTTTCTTTAGTTTGGTAATGTGAAAGTCAAATCAAAAGGAGATAGAATGTAAACTTTTAACTTGTACCATTAGGCAGCCAAAATTTCTCTTTATTAAGATTGTGTTGGCTAGAGATATAGCTCAGGTATAGAAGACTTGCCTAGTATTTGTGGGTGTCTGGGTTCCATGTCCAGTACTGCAAAATAAAACAAAATACAAACAAAGGAGAAGATAACATACAGTTTGCTCACTGTTATTGGGAAAGTTGTTTGATTCTAACAACAAATTTGTAAAACGGCTCAAATGAAAAGAATTATTTCTATCAATTCTTTTCTTAACAGGAAAACAGGCTTCAACCTAAGCAGCAATAAAATGAAGAATTCTGTTTTGTTTGGTATAATTGGCAGCATCTTGATGAAGGTCAGACTGTCTTCTGAATAAAATCCATGTCTGTCTATCACAGAAAAATACATTTTGGTCTTTTGCATTGTCTTTGGTCTCACCAGCCAGTGTCTGTCTTTCTGTTGGTAGAGGTCCACGCCCTCTGAGTGCCTCATCTCTGTGCCTCAAAAAATTGAGGATTTCAAGAATTTTCTGCTCACAGCCAGGCAGAAGGATGCCAAATCCATCAAGATAAAGAAGAACAAAGATAATGTGAAGTTTAAAGTCCAATGCAGCAGATATCTTTACACCTTGGTCATCACAGACAAAGAAAAGGAAGAGAAACTGAAGCCGTCCTTGCCCCCAGGCTTGGTAGTAAAGGAGGTGAAATAAACCATCAAGACTATTGTGAAGTGTATTAAAAAACTTTGAAGGGCTAGGGATTTAGCTCAGTGGTGCCTCCATCTGCCTCACAAATGGAGTCCCAAATTTGATCTCCAGTATCAAACACACACACACACACACACACACACACACACACACACACACACACAAACATAGCCTTATTAATCCAAGGTATTTCCTGTGCTTAACATTTGTTTCAACAAGAAACAATAATATATGTTCTTGCAGCTATTCATTTTGAAGTAGAAATAACCAGAATTCCAGATACAGTTCTCATTTTTATTACTTTAAAATTGATATTTTTCTCTAAAACAGGGCAGCTGACTGTAGAATGCTAGGACCCCTGCACATTTTATCATGCATGCCTGGCTCAGCAATATATTCTTGGCTTCAGGAACCTTGATAAGAATCGAACATCTGGTCTTCCTTTCTGACCCTCCACACTATTTCTCCCCTCAAAAGCAACATTTCCCACTTTTCTTCCCTGGCTTGCATATCTTTTAAAACTTGAATTGTTGGGGTGGGGGAAAGCCAGTCTTATACTTTTTCTAGTTCTGAAAATGCTTTGAAGCATCATTTCCTGTGGTTCCTTTTTATAAACCACTAGAAACCTGGGCAAAGATTATTCGGATGGACTGGATTAATTGGTCACCAGAAAAAGGAATTAGATCACTGCCCAAAGTCAGACTTGTTTCTTTCCTCTTGCCTGGTTCTTTAACCAGACCTTAGTGGAAATCTTCCCACATGATGTTCTCGACCTGAAGATCTTGGAATCCTGGGAATGCAAAGTGCAGTGTGCACGTGATGTGGATATGTCCTTTTCTTTGGCTTTGATCCGATTCTCAGAATGATCTAAAAACCTAGTATTTTAAGGACTTCATTTCTAAACTGAGAAGAGTGGCCAGATGCTCCCTGTCACCCAGATTCCCTCTTTGGATGGCTGCTGATTTCACCCTGCACAGGGATTCCTCTGAGTGTGAACCCAGAAGAGGCAAATGCAGAGCCATCCCATAGCATTCTAGACACATATAAAATGCTGAAGTGCAGAACTGGATTGGGATTTCTCCAGTTCTGTTTGTATTGTCCCTAACGCCATCTTTTTCAAAAATAAGAATTTCTTTTCTTTATTATAATGAAAATTCTTTGATAATTTTTACTACTCCAGGTGAAGATGCCTTTGAAAAGCAAGATTTAAGTTGTATATTTTTTCCTAATTTTCTAGCAGTAGATTCTGATGCAGCCATTAAAAAAAATATCAGGCAGTTATCTGAGATCTTCAAGGTGAATGGATGACAAGTATATTTTCTGGGGACTTTCTGGGGTCCCGGAAATGTGAACAAAACCTAGGAGAATTCTCATCTGCAGCTTTACTTTAAAACAGGTCTGAGGCCAGGCATTTTGTCACATGCCTATAATCTCAACACTTGGAAGGCTGAGGCAGGAGGATCACTGTGAGTTTGAGACCAGCCTGGGCTACATAGTGAGTTTCAGGTCAGTCTCAACTACATAGTGAGACCCTGTCTCAAAAAAATAAACAAACAAGCAAACAAAACACACACACACACACAAATAGGTCTGAGGATGGAAATGATGCCTTTTTCAGTGACACTGAAACTGAGGAGCTATAGGTTTTTGAGGGAACAAGGGTCTGTGTCTGAGATGCAGTATCCCCAGGTGGCTTCCAGCTTCTAAACTTTATCTCATATCTTTAAAGTGTTTGGTATAAATTTAGGGAACTTCACATTTCTATTTAATGTGCTAACCCTTAGACAATAACCACACTTACACACCTTTTTGCTATTTATGAGAAATTACTAGTCACAGTAATAAGAAAAAATGACTTTCCTTTGCATCAACAAAAAACTGGCAGTGTGATAGCTCTTACTATAAAATATGATTTTATATTTCTAAATTAACTTTTTAAAAGCATGTCTTTTCTTTCAGGGTAATGCTCTTGGAACCACTTGGTGAGTGCATGTTGAATGTTTCACTTTCATTTTTCTGTGAGACAGCAAGAAGTTTATCCAAATAGCACCACGCTTCTGCCACATAAATCATTCAGAAATTCTGGTAACTTTCCATGGGATTCACTTAAATCTTGTTAAATCCATGGGAGAATTTACTTGCTTTTGGCATATTTCACCATATTAGGAGGAAAACCAGTCTTGGGAGACACAGTAGTTAATAGGAATGAGCCAGAAGCGGAAGTCCATGACTCCGTGCTATTGGTTTATGTGTTTTCAGATGATGCTAGTCTTGGTCAGATGCTCCTGTAAGAAGTTTCCTTTCTGTGTCCCCAGTGCTCCCTAGATACCCTACAATGCCTTTAAAGGACAGGGCCCTTCTTCTCCTAAGTAAAGATTTAAATGCAGAAAGAAATTAGAATGATGGACTAAACCCAGGCATACCTACTACCAGAATGGAGGGTTATAGGATACAGGAAAAGAGGTACTAGAACAAAAGAAGAATGGAAGGCAGGCAGACCCGCTCTTCGAGGTATAGGGGAGATAAACTGGGTCTTCCCACCGTTTTCTTACACACAGGTTTCCCAGCCCCTAGTGTCAGAGTACTCTCTGAGCTGAAGTGGAACTTAGCCTTCTCAGGTGGCTGGTATTTTATGGGTAGTGCAAACCCTGAATTAAATTTTAAACCAGAAGTCTTTCCCATCCCTCTCTAATTTAATCAAATTTAATTTTTCCAGTTATGTAGTGGGGAGGATCTGTTTGTGTGCCTTAAACATCAGCTGGGCATCTACCCTGGATGTTTCTGATGTGAATTATTGAGTTCTGTGCTTTGAGGACAGCTTGACGAGTCCTTTACCAAGGAGCTCCCAACAGGAACAAGAGTCTTCAGTCTCACAGAGACTACAGCTGGTTGAGAAGCTAGGATGTTCCTTACAGTGTCTGCCACAAGGAGCTTTGTCAAGTAAGATGGGTGACTGTGCTTGTCCCTAGCTTTACCTTGGCAACTTCATTTGGATCTGGCCACTAGATTCATTAACTGGGTCTTTTTCTTGGCCAACTTTTCAGCATCTCTCTTCTTGTCAGAACCCTTGGCAGCTTAATGAAGCTGAGAAGAAGAGAAGCAATAATCATGTCAGCCACACTAAGATATCAAACAAAAAAACGGAGCCCACCCTGAGCTCTGGAAGTTTCCTGAGTAGACATTGATACACAATGCCCAGAAGAAAAGTGTCCTTTGTCCTCAGAGAACATTACAGGTTGTTCATAGGTGTTCAGATGGTACATACTTTTCACTAAGAGACCATTCTTTTGGGAAAAATGTAAATTCATTGAGGGAAGGGAGAGAAGACCATGTCAAGGAAGGGATGCCATCATTAGAAATTATACCAATGCCTAATGAAATGGAACACCTTCTCTGATAGACTTCACATACTCAAATCAGCAAATGGCTGAGTATTGTGCATGTTCCTCAGTTGCATGGATTGGAAGGCACATGTTAAAAATCTGATTGGATCTTTGCTAAAGGTCACATAGAAGCCCTAGCTTCTCCCAGGATCACATCGTTCATTGGTCACCTTGCCCATTGCAAAATTTCAAACATCAATACTTTTAGATGAAAGGAGACAGAATAAGGAAGAAAGGAAATAGACGTTTTCAATGTTTGTTCTCTCATTCTTCCTTCATTTTATTTCACTAGCTCCTGATGAACCTTCCGCATCTGTTTACCCAGTTCTGACATAAAACATTTACCAGAGTAGAGCTACAAGATTTATAGAATTTCTACATATAAGCTCAGTCTCTTGAAATGTAATAGACCTGGTAGTGGGAAAAGAAGAAAGAGAGTGAAGTCAGGCTCACCAGAGGAGGGGCACAGATCACCTGATCTGGACTTCCTATGCCTCAGTGGTCACATTCTTCCTTAAATTGAAGCACTGGCTATTTCCTGAAGTTGGTATATGAAGGGTCAAGTAAGATAGTATGGTATCTGTCATAGAGAACAGAAAAAGTAAAAGAGGGGGTAAGGGCAGACACCAAGGTATTGCAAAGAGTGTAATGTCCTCATCAATTTAAGGAACCTCAGTAACATACTCAAAGCTCATATCTAGGGACAAAATTGCTTCTGCAAAAATTAGCTCTGAGATTCACTTCCATCCTCCCTGCAGTAGCCACAGGTACTGCGAGAATTGGATTAATCTAAGGTCTTTTTAACTCCCCACTTAAAACACATTTAAATTCTGGGGCTCCATGCCAAAATGTTCCTGTACTATTATATCCTTGGTTAATTAAAGAATAAACAGTTCAGTAGCAGAACCCTTTTCACAGAAGCATCTTTGGTGGGAAGGCTGCTTTGGGGCTATGTGCCCTTGTGAGCCTCTCATGAGTTCTATCTAACCTAGGTGAACTCAGAACTGGATACAAGGGTGAACCAATAGTGGGGACCCAGAGTGTGTTTTGTAAAGTCAACTGGGGTGGTTATACTAACCCCAGGTTCAAGGGAAGCAAATAATTGGGTAGTAAGGGGCTTGGAGAAGAGCATCTCTAACAACATACCCAGAAGGCAGAGTTCAGAGCAGTGGGGGCATGACTCTCACACATCCAGCACACATGCTCCTGTTTCTCTCTTGGATGGTGCCAACTCAGAAATACTAACTGCCATTGTTGATCCCACAGAAGGATCCCATGGAATGTGGTTGCCCACCTGCTCTTTCTCCATCAACTTATCTGTTGCTACCATGCGCAGCAGGAAATATGAGCTCAATGATTCTCATTCATCCTTACTTGGTGTGAGTGAGGGCAGGAATCTGGCTGTGCCTGTACGTGTACTTAGATTAAGTTGACTGGTTTGAAATAAGCACAAAGACCTTCTCCTCTGTTCAGGATTTTTTCAATGGATGAAGAATACATATCCTCAAAATAAAAAGAGATACCTTTGCATGTTGCAAAATAAGAAGTTATATGGAGCATCTTCCTGCGTGGACCACCTGATCAGTGAGTTCACACCAATACATTGAACACCCATGGTCA